TCCTTGAGGACCATACAGGGAACAGGAACTATCTATAGGGCCTTGAGAGCGGTGAATGGCTCGAAAGGAATTGTTTGCTCAGCTGTACACACGTGCCTCTCAGCACAGATGTGGGGAGCAGGGAGGCTGGCAAGAAGCAGGGGCGGCACAGGAGAGTTTGATGATTTGGAGCCTTAAGTTCGCTTCCAGGGAAGAGAAAGGAGGATGGAAGCAGAGAAACCCGCAAACCAAGAATGCGGACGATTGAGGGATGGCAAGAAAGGCAGATGAGCTGGACGGTGAGATCCCAGAGTGGAGAGCCTGAAGAGGCCCGTGGGCCACATTGGGGATCTTGGATTTCAGTTTCAGAACAATGGGGAGTCAATAAGGGATTTTAAAGAGAAAAGTAAGACCAACAGTGGAGAATTACACAAGGATAGTGCTAGCTAGGATCGTGGAACTAGACTGGAAGAAGGAACGATTAGAGGCATGGAGGCAAAATGGGGACGGTCTATGCTAGCTGAAGACACAGAAGGATGGAGAGGGAGTGAATGGCAGAGACAGTGGCTACAGGGAGGGATCTGGGACATGCAGGAAGCAGAGGCAACAGGACTTGAGGGCGGGGCTCTTTGGACACCCTGGTATGCTCAGTCACTGCGGCCAGCTCCTCCCTGTTGTCACTCACTACATACCCTTCCTATTTTTCTAATGAAATAGCCCACAAAGATAAATCGTAACAGGAGAATTATAAAGTGATTAAAGCAGAGGTGTGCCAAGGGAATATCTGATAGCAATTATAGGATCTAAAATACCCAAAGGGATTTTTTTTTTATTACTCTTTAGCTTATTATTCAAGGATTATTTCTCTGGAAAAATGTCTGCGCAGCATTCCCACCAGTCATATCCTTGACAGCTCAAATAATCCCACACGCAAATATATTTTCCTCACATTTTAATGCTAATGAGATCAAGATGTCTCTATATAGTTAATATCGCATTCCTTTTTTTCCCTTTCATAAAAAAAATCCCACAAATTGCTTTCAATCAGTACTGAGGAAACATGATAGTTGTGAAATGTACTCCTATGTAAACCAAGGAATTGGCCCGTTATACAAGGTTACTGTATATATAAAGAAACGACAGATTGGAGGTTTTCTGCCAAAAATATGTTTAAGTATTGTTGATCTTCTGACATTTTGTCTGAGAGTGATAACAGAGCGAAACCAGTTGTCTTTTCAGGGCATTCCTAGCTCAGGGCAATAAAATCAAGTCACTGAAAAACTGGAGAAGATTTTTCCATTCTTTTTTAAAAGAATAGATATTGTGGGTGGCAGAGGGATATTGAAAATGTCCACATGGCCACCAAATAATAGGGTCCATTCTTGGTAGAAATCCCTATTTCCTACCCAATCAGATAGATCCCATTTACCCAAGCTAGTGAGTAGGATGGGTAATCTAGGCGTCAGTCAGTCAGCAAATGGCCTTACTCTGGACACAGATATTGAATCAAGAATGGACATGCAGGAGAGGGAGATAAGGTGGGGGCGGGGAAGATGATGGCACTGGGTGAGCAGGGCACTAACCCACCCCGGGGGGAGAGTATTGGTTATGTCTCCACAGAATTGGGAGTGCAGCAGACACCCACCACAGCACACAAAACCTTGAGGTCAATGTAACCACATGAAGCAACACATGAACAAAGTGGACTACAGGGCCAGCCCCAATCAGCGTCAAACTGATCCCCTCCCTAGAAGTATGTGCTACACAGGATAACACTGAACCTACAGGTTGGGGAGAGGGGCCAGCAAGCCATGCCCACAAGGAAGCAAACCAAGAAAGAGCGTGAGGGTCTAGACCCCATATCGGCACACCAGGCTCTAAGGACAAAGTCCCTGCGCAGGGCTGCTAAAGCACAGAGAGGACTGTAGGTCCGACAACAGCTCAGACATGAGGGACCACCACTGTGGACACACCGAGAGGGGAGTGAGTCCAGTCCAAACCCCACAGCAGGGCAAACCAAGAAGGGAACAGAACAGATCAGCAACGGGAGCAAAGCCAAGCCACAAAGCCCCTGAGGAGCACCCCAAAAGAGACTTCAAGCTAGGAGGGCCGGTTCCCAGAACTGCCCTGGACCAGTGGGGAGATTGTCATAAAAGTCAGCGGACAGACCTGGAATTATGTATGCTTTCTTTTTTTTTTTTTGCTAGTTATTTCCACGCCCCCCCTTTTACTAAATCTTTTGTTTTCTTTTTGCTTTGTCTCTGTTATTGTTGGTTTTGCCTACTTATATATGATAGACATGGGAAGCAAGCTTGAGGAAAATGTAACAGGACCAGTAGGCCTGGAGGGACTTGGGGGGAGAAGATGCAGGGGAAGGGAGTGGTGAACAAACAATGCCATCGACAGGGGAACTAGGGAATTAAAATCAACAACGAGGAGGACGTAGAGATCCTGGGGGTGTTGGAGCAACAGCAATCTCGCTGAGAAGAATTACTAAGAGGCAGGAGAAGGGCGAGAGTGATGGTGGGGCAGGAGGAAGGTAAAAGAAACCAGAGGAAAGTTCTAGGAAGCAAAGCTATGGCTAGAGGTACAAACACAGGC